GAAACACAGTAGCGACAATCCGACAGCGGCGACACGCCGTCTTCTCCGAATGAGCTTCTACCGTTCTAATTCAGATTAACCCAAAAATGTCAAAATAAATAATAGATTTCCACCAAGCTCGCTAGAATCTTGCGAACCGTCAACATGCAGGCATTTCAAGTGTTCGAGCGTGCGTAGATTCTGCTCAGCGGCTCAAGAACATTCGCCAAGCGAAAAAAAGTCGATGAGAAAGATGTAATGGTGGACGAAATTACGAAAATCGGAAGAAGGTATTCGACCCAGTTCGACTATCCTGGACTGGATTGGCAACGTCCAACAAACGGATTCGTATTCTATGGGGTCTCATGAGCTAGTGTGCCAAAGGGCGTTTAGTTGGAGCTTCAGTGCATCACCTTCGCCGAAAGAGGCCCTTTCTGAGATTTGGCCGATGGACTAACTCTCACACAACAAACACTGCGAAAACGGCACGTAGATGAGAAACGTGCTTTGTACAGGGGTCCTCGACTCTCGTTCCGCGTGAATCCCACGTTCCCCGTTATCGGCCATTTTTCGTCACTCACCTTGGCAACAAGCATGTTTACGGCGTGTTTACGTGGTTTTCTACCTAGTCTGGACAGGCCCGTAGGGTTGTTGATTGTTTTGGTGGGCGCTGATAGTAGGATGTGACGGCAGTCTTAGATCCGGAGGAGTGTGCTGTGGATCGTGTCGTTGACGTGGGTACTGTGACATGTGACGTGACCTGAGTGCCTGGGTGACTTTGATATCGCGTAGTGCGACTCGTAGTCGTACTGGGGCGTCCCCGTACGTTGTCCCGATCACGTACCTGTGGCCATGGTGACGACTGTACTGCCGCACTGTACGTCCCGACGCTGTCAGCAGCAGGCGGTGGAACTTACTTCAACCTCTAGTAAGGGGACTCCCTTCTCCTCTGCAGCCTTTATCTCCCGCCCCCGGTCGTCTCTCAGCGCTGCCAACTCGTCACTGATGCTAGCGACAATCCGCATCATCTCATCCAAACGCTCAACGACCCCGGCAGCTGATGAGTGTAGCACACCCACACCAGCCTCGCGAAGTTTCCCAACCACCTCCGCGCGAGCCATATTGTCCAGGCCATCAATGCTATACCGCCGAGGTAAACCTCGCAGTTCCTCGAAAGTGAGAATGGCCAAGTCTACGACGTCACCCAGGCTCATCCTGCACCAGATTACCGCAGACACGGCCGCAGCAAGTCTCGAGAATAGCGTCGTAAAGACAAGCCAGCAGTGTGAACAGAGGCGCGAGCACTCCACTCCAGCGCGTGATCCAGCGCCAGCCCTAGCGCTAAGGATTAGACCAGACAAAGCCTCACATCACTCAGGCAAGAAGGACTTAGGTACAAAGAGAATACTAGTCTATGGAGTATGGTATTAGATACATGCAAGCCTTGTTTGCTTGAAAACATGCTATTTCAATATTTGGTGGAAAACATGTTGTTTAGTTGACCGTATGACTGTTACAACTGAGCCACACTGTGATTGAAAACAGTGCTCCTTACTACTAGTACAAGTTCCACCAATAAACTACTTCAGTACTTGTAAGAATGAAGAAGATTTACGCAGTGCTGACAAGTGACATCCAAGAGCGAGCAAGGAACACACAACTGACAGTACAAAAACAAAAACAAGAACTGACTGTTTTTAAACAACTCCCTGGTATAATGGGATAATGAGGGTCAGAACCAGGGCTATTGAACCAGGGCTATTGAACCAGGGCTATTGAACCAGGGCTATTGGCTAACAGCCTAACACACATACGGTCCAAATGCTCTTGCGTAAAGACCTGGGCTCTGCCAACCGTGGAGGTCGTAGTAAAGAGCACTGTTTTCAAGCACAGTAAATAGCCCTTGGCAGATTTCCAGGCATATTTAGGCATGTTGCAGGAAATAACCTGGTGAATGTCACCCCGTATAAGCCGTGCTGTCATCGTACCAGAGTCGTTGGAATGCAACCGTTGCAAAGTGCAACAACAGTGCAAGGGTACAGTATCAGCATCATTGGTATAATTTGGGCATATTTAATGGGAAGCATAATTCAGCAATTTACCGAGCATAATCCGCCAAGGGCTATTTGTACTGAGTTCACCATGCCATTGGATGTTCTTCCTCTCCGTGGACTAAAAATCTCAGATTTTGAGTTTTATCCACTCTATACATAATTTTATTTTCATTATTCTATTGGTTTGGTGAGACTCCCATGATAGGTATCCATTTACCTTAGGAGAATCCGTAAATAAACAATACAATACAATACCGAATAGATTGGACCGCAGCATAGTATAGCACGATCTTTGGCATATTTCCAACATCATATAATTCATATTGCGTACAGTAAACTTCGCTTGTAAACGACACTCGGCGGGGCATCAAAAAAGTGTCCTTATTCGCGAAGTGTCGTTATACCCGAAGTCTCATTAAGTCTCTTTCCCTCAAACCAGTTAATATCTCATTATAATAATAATAAATATTATGTATTACAGTTGGAAGGGACTTTGCTCTGGGCATGGACATGCTGTCGTTATTCGCGAATTGTCGTTATATCCGCGGTCGTTATTAGCGAAGTTGACTGTACATACTTGTATTCGCTGGTTTGAGGGAATGACGCGAACTGGAAAAGTCTAAAGAAGAAATTGACTGTCACCACCAGGACTCGAAGCAGGGACCCTCGCTTGAGGCCGGCGATGCTCTAACCACTGAGCTATGGTGTAGTCGTCATCCCAGCAGAAACCGTTCAACATTTTCTAGCACAATTACTATGACGGATGACCCAAAGGCAATGGTACCTACATGTAGTTTAATCAAGGGGTGGCCCGGGACCAAACACAGAGCAAAATTACTGAACATTTGGGCATAATGGAAAGCATAGTTCAGCAATTTACCGAGCATAATCCGCCAAGGGCTAAGCACAGTTCGTCCTCCACCTTGTAACATGCTGTCAACCAAACAACAAGAAAATACCGGCACTACGTAGTAGTACTGTACGAAGTAGTGGTTGCGTGTCAAGTAAAGTCGGCGGAATAGCGCGAGCTCCGGTGTGGGGAGCAAACCCTTTCTTAGTAGTACTGTAGCTAGAAAGAAAAGATAAAATCAAGGAGCAGTCCGGATGGAAAAGGAAAGTTAAGGACACAATAGCAAGAAGGTACAAGAGAAGAGCTAGAGAGAAAAGGGAAACCAAGGAGGAGTCCAGGTGGAAAAGGAAAAGGAAAGATTAGAACAGAATCTGTCACGCAATACGGATAATTCCCATCGTGGATATGATAATTGACATCCCTACGCAATAAGTAGGTCGTTAACTATTTTACCGATCATGCCTGCAAAGGACGCAGGCAGAACACACTTTTATTGACTCTTGATGCAGCCAGCCTACAAATCATCCAAGCGCCGCCGGCATTGGTCGAGAAATGATGAGCAGCTGCACTGTACACACTGTAGTGTAGTTTTTTTTCTACAAAATCCACATACCGGTATCTCCAGACACTGGGGTGAATGATGGAGTGTGGTGGTGAGTCATTATGGACTCCAAGATAAGTCTAGGTGCAACAGCTGCTGTCCGGCACGCAAAGCTCCGATTCCCACGCTTGCTGCTTCACTTCAGCCTTCGGTTATAGCCTGGGCCGCGGTCATACATGAAAAGCTTGCACCGCTTTTGCAGAGGTTACCAGCACCATACTACCCACTCACTACTCGACACAAAGTAAGTTTTTATTACAATCAGCAAAATGTGAGAACAACAATGGACAAACTGAAAGAACTCAACGGATTCAAATGTAATCAGGGCTTGTTATGACAGTGACTACTACTGCCAATCATGCAAACCTACATTGTACATGTCTGCTACCAGAGGCAGGGAGTTACTGCCGACCAGCCCGCAGCTTGCATTCGATTGCGAAGGGCATTTGCCTACGGCGATATGATGCCAGCCCTCTCCGCAACAATTCTCGCCAGGGTCTTCAGGAACAGCGAACATTCCCTGCCAACCATCCCGGAGGTGGAGAATACCAGGGGCGTAAATGAACTATGCGGTCGACTGTTGATACGCGCTCTTCATTATTGCCTTTTCTTCCGCATTTTCTCAGCAGGTGTCTCGGGCATGACAACGCCTGGATCGCGGAGGTGATACCGCCACTCACATACCAATCCCTTGGTCAGGACAACATACGCAGCATGTGGCTGAGTGGTGACACGCTCGCCAAGCGCTCAATCGGTGACACCCACTTGTCTATCAGCCCAGCCACATATTCCTCATGGACTACCCATTACTACTATAGTACTACATTACACTGTAGTTCCGAAATTGGGCTGTCTTTTTACTTTGACTCTTACTTCATGGTGTTGTGAATAAAACCGTTCTCAAGTACCGGTACGACTACTTTTATACCGGTACTCGGCGGTAGTACTGAGGAACTATTAGTATTACTTGGAATCCATGATGCATGAATTGATGCCTTGATGGTGGCCCCTCGGCCTCTTGTCAGTCTTGAGTCTTGTATTTTGTAGCCTGGCTCCGATGCCACCTCCACCAGTGACTGTGTCCAGCTAGCGACTGCCGGGAATCAGGATCAGGAGTTGTGCTGAGCCTTGGAAACAAACCCCAGGCCGCATGAGACGGTTTTCACAACTTCCTGACAAACACCAAGGCAAGGTTGGCAAGCATGGCCGGAATAAATGATTGGCGAAGCCTTGTACATGTACTGTACTTGAAGAAGGAGATAAGACGGTATGTGCGTGACCCCGCGGAACACACACTTGAACCGTCTCGAGATGGAGTCTCCACCGGAAAGGCCCAAACCAGGGATGCCCGGGAACCCTTTTTATTTTACACTACTCCCGGGCCTCGGCGCGGCGCGGCCCTGCAGCCTGGCCCAAAGTGCATGATGTCGTCACAGTTTCCTTGGTGATGAGCCAGGATTATTTTCGTGTTTTTGCACGAAACTTTGAAAAGAAGAAAATACAGCAAAATCAAGGAGCGGAGTCGAGTGAAAAGATAGCTACTCATTGTTGTGTCAATCAGCAATCTCCAACCTCTTCCTTTCAGCCTTTTTTTGTGAAGTTTGAGCCTATCCTCTCCTATTTGTCTTCATCGCAAGATGTCTTTGCCAAGTGGTTGGGTTGAGAAGGTGTCCCGTGAAACGGGCAAGACCTATTTCCTGAACACGCTCACCAATGCCAGCCAATGGGACAAACCTGAGGAAGACGCCAAGGATGGAGTTCGTGCGTCTCACCTTCTCGTAAAGCACGTCGAGTCCAGGAGGCCATCGTCATGGAGAGAGGAGACGATCACGCGGACGAAAGACCAAGCCCTGGAAATTTTGAAAGGTTCGCAGACTTCCTTGATCTCAATTATTTTGACGCTTTGTACCAGTAATATCGTATTAATTTCAAGAAAAAGAAAATTATGTAACTTCTCAGATTTGGCGGCGCGAGTACTGTACATGAACTATGCATTGTACCAAGAGTACATACCCCCCCCCCCCCCCAGAATGTGCAACGCCGATCCAGCTCTGCATAGGGTTTTGGTCGAGCGGAATCGGATCTTCTGATGTCATGCGTACAATCCACACCACCGCAAGCCCGTTCTCGAGGCAGGGCACCGTTGTTTTTGATCCGAGTGTACCCGCGACTCCCCGGGTTCCCCTCAGATGTGTACGGTATTATGACGCAAAGATCCGATTACGCTCGACCAAGACCCTATGCAGAGCTGGATCAGGCGTTGCACACTCTGGGGGGTCATGTACTCTTGATTGTACATGCATTTACAATGAGCACGTGATGCTCTGTTCACGTGATGGCAAGTGGAATCCGACCCCATGAACATATCAGCCCCGAGCTTGGACAGGGCTAGCATTGAGAACACCCGGGCTGGCGGGGGCAGCGAGCGTGGCTCTCTGCTTGATGCACGAGGTCGTATTTTACTTGGCCGCGTCTGGTCCTGTGGACGGAAAGTAGGATATCAGTGTAGGTATGCTGGCTGATGAGCTGCTGGCCATGCGCAAGACTGTCTTTATCCACTCATTTACACACGCACACCGCGCAGCCAGCCTTGCTCGATGTATCCGAAATGTGTCACTCATCGTTTGGGCACGACGCCATGGCGCTCCGTGCATCTGCAATGCTATACACGTACGGTAGAGCTGCACGACAAAAAACGTGGAGCCCAAGAATGCCCATCCTGAAATACTGAGAACACCACAGTCTGAAGTTCAGAACGTCGGTCTTGGTGTTTTGGTAGCTTTTGTGCATACAATATAAATGTATGTAGTAGCGTGTGCATACGATCCAGTACAAATTGTTCCTAAGAACGTGCTATATGAACGCAGCCAAGTCGCTCAAAGATAAGACCTCTTGGAAATGACGTTCTCAGGGGCACGACTCTACTGTACACGTAAACGGTTCTAGTGCGTCGGCAAGAGTACATAACCCCCAAGAGTGTGCAACGCCTGATCCAGCTCTGCATAGGGTCTTGGTCGAGCGGAATCGGATCTTCGCGTCATAATACCGTGCACATCTGAGGGGAGCCCGGGGAGTCGCGGGTACTCTCGGATCAAAACAATGGTGCCCTGCCTCGAGACCGACCTTGTGGTGGTGTGGAGTGTACGCATGACATCAGAAGATCCGATTACGCTCGGCCAAGACCTTATGCAGAGCTGGATCAGGTGTTGCACACTCGGGGGGGGGGGGGTATGTACTCTTGGCGTCGGGTGTTGTACCGACGACCAGCGCCGTGCTTCATGGCCCACACGGGCGTAGGCCGGGGTGCATCTGAAGACCACAAGTGGTTCCCAGCAATCTACTCATAGACCCTGCATGCTGAGTATATCAGCACTGCACAAAAGTAGACTGTTTGTGGCGAAAGTCGTGGAATCACTTGATTCGTGGCGATGCCAATTAAGCAGTCGCCCTACACCATTGACCCACTAGTATTACACATGGTTGAGGCACACACAGTGCATTAGGGCCTGGTCAGACTGCGGCAAAATCGAAATAATCCTAGGATTATAATCCGAATCTCCATAGTAACTTGCCGCCAGAGCGGCAAAAGCGAGAGTTGACGCTCCAAAAAAAAAGCAAGAACGGACCACGCTTTTCCGCTCCAAACAGGATTTGACGCTGATACGCCATTGACGCTGATAATTACTGATTTTTTCATCTCGATATCGAGGAGCTAATTGGCCACGGACAACAACAAAACTGATAAGGATGGTTGCAAGGATTGCACTGACGGTGTTGGCGATCCCCAAGGTGAAGGAATTTGACGTCGTTCGTGGAGATTACCACTTGACGCTCGAAATGAAGTTTGAATTTTCACTCTCCCCACATGTGTAGTGTGATCGCGATTCAAATTCTGGGCGCTGTTCTGTTTTCGTCAGGCAACCAAAATTTGCCGCAGTCTGACCAGGCCCTTAGCTAGGTCTAAGGATGATGTGTGGCATTCGCATCTTGACTTAGACGTTGTTGCATGTCTTTGTTAGGTGATTGATACAGGCAAGTTGGAGCCAGTTCGATTGCCAGTCTCTCCGCTTTTCATTTGATACCGGTGTTCGTGTACGCGTGCGTGCATAGACATGTGTGTGTGTACGTGTATGTGTGTGTGTGTGTGTGTGTATGTGTGAATGTATCCACGCAAATGTGTTGAAAAATGCCGAACATAAGTATGCAATGATTTTGTTGATGCCATCTTCAGTAGGTCCGTCAAATAGTAGTGGTGCTGATGTCTGCAAGCGTCGTCTGGTCAAAAGAAAAAGTTACCACTACTTGCGCTGCTCTTGCCTGCACAGCGTAAAAAGATAATCTATTTTGATGCGGCGCTGTATCAATCAGAATCACCCACCTATCGCTCTCGAAATCCACTCGAACTCTTGCTAGACCTTTCAGGTACTGGCAAACTAACTTGCTAACCAAAATTGGGATGAAATGGGCTGCCAAGTAAGCATTGGCGACATATAAACAAAGCTGAAAGATAAGCGACAATATCGCTGACGCGGACCAAGTATAAGTATGCAATAGCTACGAAAAGCTGGGTAGACTTGGCTAAAATAAACGCTAGCCACTTCTTCAGCCTTGTGAGCTGTTGAATAATGCTGTCCTGGCAGGTTGCGATGCCTAACATACAACTAGTGATAATTATAGCATTACCTTAATTTGATAATGAGCTTGTTCTACAACTCGTGTATGTTTGTACATCTCTCGTGCTCAGGGTACCGTGCGCGTATCGAGAGCGGTGATATCAAGTTTGCCGACCTGGCGTCAACAGAGAGCGACTGCAGCAGTGCCAAGCGTGGCGGCGACTTGGGATTCTTTGGACGCGGGGCCATGCAGAGTAAGATACGGCTGCATTGCGTCGAGTGGAGCTTCTCCCTGGTGGTGCATGTGTGTGTGTGTGTGTGTATGTGCGTGCGTGTGTGTGTGTGTGTGCGTGTGTGTGTATGTGCGTGTGTGTGTGTGAGGGGGGGCATGTTTGGCTGCACATGTACAACCAGCTACGGCGTGTACGGTGTGATGATGGCATGTAGGCTTGAAGATGATGTCATGCACACTATGATGAGGTCATGTGCTCTCTTAGGTAATGTGCCCAATGTCCTATAGTACATGTTGTTGCTGGCAAACGTTATCGCAAACACCAATGTCTAGTGCTCTGGTGGCAGCGTCGCACCCCGTCACCCCTATTACCACACACACCCTCTGTTTGCCGGGATGCTTTTCTACTGCTTGCTGTCTCTCACTGCTGTTTCCTACCATGATCTTGTGTCACCTGCAGAGCCTTTCGAGGAGGCCACGTACCGCCTGCGTGTTGGTCAGCTGAGCGAACCGGTCTTCACCGACTCTGGCATCCACATTATTCTGAGAACCGGCTGAGCTGTGTGGGCTGGCGCCCCCCGAGGTACTGACTGATTTCGACCGATGTGAATGCTGAATTGAGAACATGTGCGCACCTGTCCTGCCATGCGCTCGGTGTATTGGAATGGTGTTGTGTGATGTGAACTACCCCGAGAGCTGCTACCATTACAGAGTGTGCTGTGGCAACGTACCTACCTACCCCACTCTTCATAGACATTTTTCTGCTACATGCACGCTTACATGCACACTTGCTGGCCTACCGGAATGCACATGTGATTTCATTTTTGTTTTTTTTGTTTTGTTTTTTTTCTAGGCTCATAACGATGTTTTTTGTTTGATTTTGTTTTCCGACAGCAGACAACTGCAGTGTGGACTAGCTTGCATGTCCCGGATATGGTCATGCAATTACATGTGTCTGTTTTTACTACTGCACTGTCCAGGTGAGACTAACATTGTGTGGCAAGTGCGCTGGTTGAAGAATGGCGCTTTCTTTTTTTCCCTAGTTTGCAGCACTATTGGTTTCCTGTGCCATTTTTCGTGTATGCATGATTGGTTGAGCTTTTGTCTGCTTCTGCGCGCGCGTGTGTGTGTGTGTGTTTGGGTGTGTGTCTGTGTGTGTCTGGGTGTGTGTGTGTGTCTATGTGTGTCTGGGTGTGTGTGTGTGTGTGTTGGGGTTACCTTGCCCTTTGGCTTTGTGTATGGGTCGCGTGTCACTCATGCGTCGGTTCTGCCATTCCGCTGTCATCTGTGTGCCTATGCGTGTGCATTCTTAGAAAGTCTGCATTTTGGCAATCTCCTTCCAGTGCTTATGCAGCGCCATTTGCTATTCCTGTGCCTCGCCATCTGCTCTTGACTATGCTCACATCGTATATACTTCTGCTTTGTGAGTCTGGCGCTATTTTTTTCTGGCTTTCTTCCATCTGCATCTTGCATGCGCAGACGAGCCCAGTCGCACTGCGGGCGCATGCACCCTGGTTTCGTTTGTGAACGTCGAGATACCATGGCTCCTGTGTGCGGGTGTGTGTGTGTGTGTGTTGTGTCACGCCATCTACTCTGGTGTATGTGTAGATAGTTTAGACAGGCGTGCATGCGAGTGCGTTAAGTAGCATAGTGATTGTGGCGTGGACCTTGTGGGACCCATCTGCAGGAATATGTTCTGTGGATGCACTGGTCCACGATAATACTTGTACTCGTAGATCTCTACGTTCTGAGTTAGATGACCGAGCACTGGTCCGCTATGCCGTTGACCGTATTCCGCTGGACACTGTACCACTTGCTGGGCATGCAATGTTGAGTTTCCCATCGCCTTTGGGAACGTGAGAAGACCTGGTCATTCAGGTGCGTGGCTCGTATGTGCCGTGTGCAGGGCGAGGGTGCTGGGAATTTGGAGCCAGTGCCCGCTCGGGATGCTAACCAACTGCCATCTCTTTATTTAACTGCATGATGTAGCTTGACTGCTGGGTGCATTGCTAGCATGGTTTGAAATCTTTTATTCTCACGATGCCCTGTGGCCACTAAGAGATGGTTGGTCGGTTGGTTGGTTGTTTTGATTTGAGTTCGCAAACTGAGCAGCGGACTGTATAGAGTGGTGGTAGACCAAATGACAAGTAAGTGAATTGTGTAGTACTGTCTGTGACAGTGGCACTAGTACATGTACCGGAAGTACATGTATGTTCTGGTACTCAAATCTGTGGACAGCAACTGTTTCGCTCTGTAAGAGCTCCTCAGCACAGCTCAGAGGAACGAAGCGCAGCTCTTCGCAATGAAATACGTTTCCGTGAAGCAAAGCATTTTTATAAAGAGCTGCAGACCCTGCCAAGAGTGCTCGAAATGCTCCAAGAGCAGTGAGCGGAGATGTTCTGGTATGTGTTCTTGCTTGTTTGACCGAAAGCCAGCCTATCCCTCTGGTGCATACTTGTACTGTAGAGACCGAGTGGCAGTCTAGGCACTCGTTATTGGCATGCTGATCGGACAACTGAGAATTAAACCTGTAACCATGGTATCGAGGTCACTGGTGTGTCACTTGTGCTGGATCAGGTCATGAGCTTTCGGCCAATGGCCTGCACCGCCCGCGCAGTACCGCTTTTGCCAGAGTATAATTAATAAATTTTGAATAGGGCAATCCCATAATAGTCTCGGTGGGGTGTCTGGTTTCAAACCCCTGGTATGCCTACTTATCATGTGTAGCGTATCTGCCTGTATAGAGAATCTTCATTGGAAAGGCTTTCTGTCTGAAGCCTTTCCAAACTGGTGCTCGATGTTCCAGTTTTGTGGCACGAGAATGGCACGAGAATTAGTGTACCACTGAGTGTACCGCTATACACGTGGTCAACACGTTGTTGATACTTTGTTGACACGTGACCGCGTCACCGGTCTGCTTTGTGCCAATACTGGCAATAGTGAGGTATATACTATCAAGAGCACATAAACCGGTTTATGTGCTCTTGATAGTATATTACTAACAGTAACACAATAATAGAACAGCTGACAGGAACGCTTTACTAAACTATGATGCACGCAGCGCCGCTCTTGTACATATTCACGGTATCATATTTTTTTCTCTTTCCGCCTTGTACATGCCGCGCTTCCTTTCTCTTCTCTCTTTTTTCTTGTTTTATCGTGATTCGCTCCTCCCGACCTCACCACTAGTCGCTGGCGGCGGAGTAGACCCAGGTGCTCGAAGTCCGTACATGGTATCCTAAGTTCGTACGCCCATAATTTCATGTTCTGTTATTGTATTCGACTCAAATATTTTATGGAGGGGACAGTGTGGTATGTTCTCCTCGCGTACCAATTTTCAGGGATCTACGATAAGCAGAAGTCCCATACCACGCGAGTGGGTTTTCGAGTGCCCATACGAAATACAAATTGGGTTACATTTCATGCGAAAATCAACTTTGCCAAGACCGATTTCGAACGGACACAGCGTCAAACAGACCTTCACTCAATCATCAAGAGCCAGCTTAGAGCTGACAATGGCCAGAGGAGAAGAATTTACAGAGAACCACCAATTCTTGCAGAAAGGTTGACACTCCTGGCATCTCCACCACTGTTTTCCCGCGGTTTTCACAGCGCAGCTGCTTCTTCTCTGAGCCGACTAAAACAGCTTGCAGTTCGGCAACAAACTACGCTTTTGCAAGAAATACTGGTGGAGGCACATGCCAAACATATCCCTTCGGTGCTTTCGTCGTAACCGAGGGATTGCAAGTTAGCAATTAGCAGAAATATGTGTGTATTTCGAGTCACCTCTGATCAGTACGGACTTAGAGTACCCTCCGCGACACAAAAATTTGATATGAAAAATCAGCGAACTCCAGAGAAACAGATCGGATCGAAAGATGGCCTGGTTCAATCGAGCCTGGCCTCAGAACAAACTTGGACAAGATACCTTCCATCCACGAGCAGGATTCTGGCAAGTGATCATTGCTAGTGTGAGTTTCAGCTCGACAAACACACACTGTAAAAGTGTACGGACTTCGAGTACCTGGGTCTACTAGCGCGCGGCCTGACTCCTATTACATGTACGTCACTTCATACATACAAGCATGCGCAAGAAAATAAATCACTCTCTTTGGCCTTTAATTTAAAGGGGAAGTGCATCGATTTTTCAAGTAGGGCTCAGATGAAAGACAATTGGATATCGGTTCCGATGGTATATCTCTCGCTTGCGTACGGCAAGGGAAACTTGCCATATCGCCAATTTCCTGATCCCGTTTCCATGGCGACTACAGGTGATGACGCACATTCTGCTTAGCTCCGTGAGAGAGAAGGTCGATCACTGCAGTTTTTCATCTGAGCCCTACTTGAAAAATCGATGCACTTCCCCTTTAAACTTTAAGCTTTGTTGTCCGGTAACGGGCTGGCCAAAGTAGCCGTCGTCTAGGGCCCAACTCGTGACGTGAAATCCTAAAGAATGTTACATGTACCAGTAAAATTTAATAATTCTACAGGCAATTTTTAAAATTACATGATTGTATACCCTTCATGTACATGGTGGTGTGGCTGAGGGAAAGTTGCTACCACTTACCAGCAGTAAAATACTGTTGCGCCAGTCTTTGCTTGAGTACGTCACGGCGTCACGGTTCTATAAAGATTGATTGATTTTAACCAGGGAGTCGTAAAATCGTATTTTGTCGTATTTTACGACTCCCTGATTTTAACATCACGACAATGCATGAATCGAATGCTAGCTTGCAACAGGACAAAATTTATACTTTACTGGCTTCCGGAATTCCGTGAGTTTTATAATTTTTATGACTGCACAACCTCACCACGGACGAGGAAAGTTGGCCTTGTAAACCTGGCACCTTTGCCATAAAGTCCAGTTTCTGTTGGATTTGGCGCGAATGTTTCCTCAAACTGAGTAGAAATCTATCGGTTGCCAAGATACCGATGAAAAATGGCCGCGAAGATTTTTCGTACAGATTCAGAATGACAGATTTGATTTTGAATGTGACAAAGAGAGTTTTTCGTCTTGTCGGCCCCATCCCGAATGTTTCTTGCTGTTCGAGCAATGATGGGGAAATGGAGTAGTTATCTCTGGCAGCTATCTACAAGCAGGCAGTTTTGAACGGCCGTCCTTGACCTATGATGAGGGCAGAGGGCCATTTGTTGAAGCTCGTACCCCACTGATGTGAGAGTGTGTGTTCGGGGGAATGTCCCGCCACAGCATATCCACCCCTGGAGGACTCAGCAGGCCCTCGAGTAGCTTGGACGTTCGCAATTTGTCAGCTGCTGATGTTGCTGCTGAGCTTCGTTCCGTGATTGATTTGCGACGGAAAAATGACGAACTCACTGGCGAACTGGGAGAAGTACGTTCGCATCTCGACGCTGAAAAGCGCCGTGTCCGCGATGCTGCGAGAGAGCGCGCTAGTGCTCAGAAGGCGCTTCGAGATCAGCTCGAGCGTGAGAGAGAGCATCTTGTCGAGGTCACAACGCAGCGCGTGCGGAAAGAATGCAGAGACAAGTTCGACCGGGGAAGAGAAAAGGAGAAGGGTCGGGAGGACGATTCAGTGGGGCGTCTGTTGAAGCGAAAAGACGAGGAGCTGCGCTCGCAGCGAGCTGCGTTCAACCGCGAACGAGACGACTGTGTGCGCAGAGCTGTACAGGAATGCGAGGAGCGGGTGCGCGAGAGCGTGGAGCAGCAGGCGGCCCAGGAGCGAGTAAAACTAATGACTGAGATGTGGGCACTGCGCGAGCAGAAAATGCGCACCGAGCAGATGCTGGAGGTGCGCATCGAGGCGGAGCACGAGCGCGTTGGTGATTTACGGCGACGAGAAGAGGAACATGAGCGCGAGGTTGAGGAGCTGATGCGAAAGTCGCGATCGGAGAGCGTTCGCGACGTGCAGAAGATCCGCCTCGCCGAGCGTATTGTCCAGAGCAAGGACGACGACATTGCCTACTTCCAGCAGGCGGTGGAGCGCCTGACGCTCGACAACAGCAAGCTGACGGACGAGGTGACACGTCTCCGCGTTGCCGAGGCGACCGACAGGAAGGTTGCCAGGGCGGTGGAGCTGTCGCCGAAATGGCGCCGGCGATCGGACACTCCGTCGGTGCACGGCTCGACGACGAGTCTAAATGAGTTCTCACCGTCGTCACAGGTGAGTGTATATACAGTACAACATGCAGTGAGTAGCGTATTTTCCGGAGTATAAACCGCACTTTGAACACTCAAGATGAACCCGAAAAGAGGATCAAATTAACGGTGATAAACAGGGTAGAGATGTCTTTGTTTCGTGGCAAAGAAATGGGAGAGGGGGGGGGGGGGGGGGTGCGGCTTATACTCCGGAAAATACCGTATGATGAGTTTAACCAGTATAACGCACATTGAGTATGTTGAGTCTGTGGGTTGTATACTGTCGCAGACATGATGCGTGTGGATCAGTGGCTAATGGTCCAGTGAGCCAGCAGGGATCTTCAAAGACTAGTTTCACGTATCCGCAAGGGTCATGTGGCTGATGCGTGCAAAGTTCCCGCTATGGACTTATGCTGACGTGCGGTGTTTCGCATCTACTACGGGTTCTCTCGGTGAAATCCGACCCGAAGTGCAAAGCTGGCGCCCTGGACACGTTCCGATTACATCATTGTAGTTGTACATGTGTACGTCCAACCGTATTCGTGCCACTTCCAGGGCGTCAATGGCGTGCAAGTTGAGGGCGCCAAATATGTACGCTGGGTCGGATTTCACCGAGCGCAACAGCACATGTACCCGGGATCTTCGTTCTTGTATTGACCGCTGGAGGACTGTGGGAATGCTGACAAGTCGAGTGGCCCAGCTCTAGTGCCCCTGCTGCCTGGGCACATTGTGCAGCTTACACATCGCAGGTTGTATTTGACACTACACGTGCGTGGAGAGCGGACCTCTGCAAATTTCTACCGCCTCTTCACTCTGAGTCTGTTGACGTTGTGGTGCTTCATGTGTACGAGCACAGTATACAACTTTCTAGGGAGCTCTAAACACACGTCCCTCGGTCTTTTGTGTAGAATTGATCCCACATACGGCGTTGGTATGCAATGGGTATACACTTCAGGGCTCGTCCATAATTTTAAAAAAATTGTTCGTGGGTGGGTCGAAGAGCGTTTCTTTTAATATTCATAGCTGAAACCTCAACCTCAATCCATTCTAGCTGTCAAGTCGAGATATTATTCGTTCCGCGGGTGGTTGTGGAAGGGTCATAATTGCGTGACCAGCTTTCATTGGTAGTTCTATTTGAGGCAAAGAACCAGTGCAAATGATTTATACTGATGCACGAAATCCTATACTCAGAGCAGTTGTTTTATTTTTATTTTTAAACAGAAGATATACAAGAACCAGTGCACCTGCCCGTCACGTTGCTGGCTACATTGCGCTGGAGACGTGCTTACACGTTCAAACGTGGCTCTGATCGGGTCGGGCGCGCGGGTGTTGTCTTCTTGTTGAGGAAGTAGTCTGGGTACTGAAAGTTTCAAACCCTTGCCGATAGCAAATGCGTGGACTGAGCCACTGTCTTCGACACGTGCTTGGCTGACGCGGCTGCAGGAATGTAAATAATAACTGAAACTAATCACATGTTTTAAAAATAGCGATGCTTGCAAAATTCTTTGATGCCATCTTCAATAGGTCCGTCAAATAGTAGTAATAGGTTTTTCATTTGACCCGACGAGACCACACGACGCTTGCAGATCACAGCACGGACAGTTCACCAGCCACACTCCACGAAAGCAAGTAGTAGTACTCCTGACAAGTCTTGTTTCGTTCCATAGAGATATAACGGGGAACTCATCAGAGGAGAAGCAGTTGTTGAATTAAGGGGTTTAGCTGAATAATGCTATTTTATAGAGACGATACCGGCGCAAGGTGTAAACACTCAACTAACTCACATATTATGTGACATATCAACACAAAAGGAATAGTGCAGAATGGAGGTGTTCTGAACCCTACCAGACACAACTATCACAGTTGCTAAATCAATCACAATGAGAAGGAGAGGTACACAGGAATAGGTTGCGCTAGTTTACACGTCACAAAGAGTACTGAGGTGGTGACAAAGAAGGGTAAAAAGTAGACGCCAAGTGAAAGCCAACAAATCATCACGAACGTCTAACGTCACACCTGAAGGTTGCTAACTACACAAGACAAATACTTCACGAACCTCGAAAATTGAAAATTCAGTCGAAGGTAGGTGAAAGGAAGGCTGCTGGGGTGTGACATAGGCGAGAACTGTGGGTTGCTGACTTAGCACCTGTGATAGTTATGTTGGTATCTACTTTTTATCTTTCTTTGTCACCACCTCAGTACTCTATGTGACGTGTAAACTAGCGCAACCTATTCCTGTGTACCTCTCCTTCTCATTGTGATTGACTTAGCACCTGTGATAGTTATCGTATATTCTCTATTATAAGCACAGGTCTCCATTACTAGCACAGTCTCTAATACTAGCACACTGTGAGCACCTTTCGAAAC